GTCGCTATATGATGTATACAGTACATATGTGTCGCTATATGATGTATACAGTACATATGTGTCGCTATATGATGTATACAGTACATATGTGTCGCTATATGATGTATACTATACGCGTGTGTCGCTATATGATGTAAACTATACATAAGTGACGCTATATGATGTACACAGTAATAATTATGTATTTAGTAATATAATCATGGACATTTATAAAGCGCCTGTTTCCACGCACTTGTACATGCTCAAAGCGCTAACGTATTACCCCGGATAACCCAAGCTGCCTGTGATGCGCTAGAAGGTTATAATCATATGATCTATGAAGTTGTGAAGTCCAAGAAACTCTCAACCAACGTGGCATACCTTCAACTGATTTGTGACCTGGGTATATGTGGCGCTATACGTGGTATATGGTGATTATAACACGAGCAAGTGTGTCATACGACTTATACGAAGTGTGACATTTTGTTTTCCCGAGCGAACAAAGGAAATAGATCACCAGCCTTGACCATCTCAACAAAAACTCTACTGAGTACAAAGGCCATTCAGGACTATTAACCAGTAATGACACCAGGTGTTCAACCGTCTAACACAGTAGTTTCCAGGGCAGGACAAATAGTGCGTTATTATGCAATATGACAGTCAGGGAATAATTTAATCTGACAATGACTTGTTATACGTTGACTGCAGCCACACTGGCACTGTGACAGATAATGTGAGCTTGTATGTAGTATTGATCCCAGAGATGTCCAGTACAATGTTTCCCACGTCCAAGCAGTTGGTGGAGCAGTTCTGGGGACGGTTTAAATATACTCCCCGATTCACGGACAGTCAGTCAGCTTGGCACCCTCTACCCATAGTGCGGTACAGCACACCGACTCAGGTTGGCATCCTCTACCCGTAGTGCCCCTCTACCCCTCCACCCGTAGTGATCCTCTACCCCTCTACCCGTAGTGCCGTACAGCACACCGACTCAGCTTGGCATCCTCTACCCGTAGTGCCCCTCTACCCCTCCACCCGTAGTGATCCTCTACCCCTCTACCCCTCTACCCGTAGTGCCGTACAGCACACCGACTCAACTTGGCATCCTCTACCCGTAGTGCCCCTCTACCCTCTACCCGTAGTGCTCCTCTACCCCTCTACCCGTAGTGCCGTACAGCACACCGACTCAGCTTGGCATCCTCTACCCGTAGTGCCCCTCTGCTCCCCCTCCACCCGTAGTGATCCTCTACCCCTCTACCCTCCCCTCTACCCGTAGTGCCGTACAGCACACCGACTCAACTTGGCATCCTCTACCCGTAGTGCCCCTCTACCCTCTACCCGTAGTGCTCCTCTACCCCTCTACCCGTAGTGCCGTACAGCACACCGACTCAGCTTGGCATCCTCTACCCGTAGTGCCCTCTACCCCTCCACCCGTAGTGATCCTCTACCCCTCTACCCGTAGTGCCGTACAGCACACCGACTCAACTTGGCATCCTCTACCCGTAGTGCCCCTCTACCCTCTACCCGTAGTGCTCCTCTACCCCTCTACCCGTAGTGCTGTACAGCACACCGACTCAGCTTGGCATCCTCTACCCGTAGTGCCCCTCTACCCCTCCACCCGTAGTGATCCTCTACCCCTCTACCCGTAGTGCCGTACAGCACACCGACTCAGCTTGGCATCCTCTACCCGTAGTGCCCCTCTACCCCCTCTACCCGTAGTGCTCCTCTACCCCTCTACCCGTAGTGCCGTACAGCACACCGACTCAACTTGGCATCCTCTACCCGTAGTGCCCCTCTACCCTCTACCCGTAGTGCCCCTCTACCCCTCCACCCGTAGTGCCGTACAGCACACCGACTCAGCTTGGCAACCTCTACCCGTAGTGCCCCTCTACCCCTCCACCCGTAGTGCCGTACAGCACACCGACTCAGCTACACCTCAGTCTCAGTTTCACCCCATTTACTCTGCCTGTGTACGTGTGTGTGCGTGTGTGCGTCTGTACATTTGCTCTTGTAATTGCGCATGTGTGGTTCCCTATATGAGCAAATGACTGTATGACATGTATATCTCCGCCACAGGCACACTCTCTCTTTCTACATACCATCTCTCTCCCTCCATCCATCCATCTGCGTAGCTATCCTTCTCTGTACGCGGCACTGTGAACTGATGATGCAAATGTGTGCAAATTGTATCCCTTGTTACTACCAAACATGGGGAGCGACGACCGACATATAGCTGCCCATTACTGACGTAGCGAAATATACTGAGAGAAACAAATATAGGAACACATGAAAATTTAAGCGTTCCTTTCATATTTTCCAGTTGTCATCACCAGCTTTGAATACCGCTGTGGGAGGAAATCTGAGAATAAATAAAGGAACACTGCCATGAAGTGGCGTTCCCTTATTTGTTTCCTCAGTATATGTTGCTGATACCATGACGGTGTCGTCACAGAAGCTGTCACTGAGCAAATTTTACATGTCGCACGTTCCAGATAAAACTCGGTTGCTTTTTTCTGTACATATATACTGGAACTTTACATATACTTTGGGTTAAAACCCATTATGTATTCATCCATCTATCCCTACAGCCGGCCCCTATTGTCCACCCATCTATAATCAATCCTCCGTCCATCCACACATCCATCGATCGCCTGTCAATCCATCCATCAATAGTCAATCCTCATCCATCCATCCGCCTTCCTTCCATCCATCCACCTACCCATCATCCATATACCTTCCTTGCTTCCACCAATTCATCCATCTTCCCCCATCCATCCATCCATCTTCCTTCCTTTCATCTGCCTTCCTTCCATCTATCCATCCATAATCAATCTTCCATCTATCCATCTGTCTTCCGTCCATGCAGCCATCCATCAACAATCTATTATCCACCCCCATCCATCCCCATGATCTAACCACTCATTATCCATCCAACATCATCAATTTATCCATTCATTCATCCATCTATATGTCCACCCATCATCAGTTCATCCATTCATCGATCCATCAATCCATTCATCGATCCATCAATCCATTCATCGATCCATCAATCCATTCACAGATCCATCAATCCATTCATCGACCCATCAATCCATTCATTGATTCATCATTCCATTCATCGATCCATCAATCCATTCATCGATCCATCAATCCATTCTTCGATCATCACTCCATTCATCGATCCATCAATCCATCCATCGATCCATCAATCCATTCACAGATCCATCAATCCATTTATCGACTCATCAATCCATTCATCGATTCATCATTCCATTCACCGATCCATCAATCCATTCATCGACCCATCAATCCCTTCATCGATCCATCCATTCATCGATCCATCACTCCATTCACAAATCCACCATTCCATTCATCAACCCATCACTCCATTTATCGATCCATCAATCCATTCATCGATCCATCAATCCATTCATCGACCTAATCAATTTATTCATCGATCCATCAATCCATTCATCGACCCATCAATCCATTCATATCGTTTAGACGTCCCAGTCCCAGCCTTCAAGTGCACACACCCGTCCTCACACCAACTCAGTGGTATTGTTCACATACCACCAGTACAGCTTCATTAGGTGTTAAGTGTCCGTGGTTACCATTCTTTGTCATAATTCTGTGGTAAATACTGAACTGTGTCTACAGCTGTGTCCCGATTCCAATGTATTCCGTGTTTAGAGAAGTGTAATCAGAGCGTTAACCAGAGTGGAGCGAAATAGCTGAGAGCAGCGGTAGGAAGTATATTCCGATACCGTTTGTAATTTAACAGTGAAAAAAACCCTGGTAAATGTTTAAATAAAGAAAACACCGTTTGAGAATGAACCGATGAAAATATAATGATTGAGCACCTGGCAACTGACAATTTGATTGTTAAAACCTTTGTGAAAGCTTAACATTATAGATAGGACAACAGTTGTGTCGTGGGATGTCGCTTCCAAATAGGCAGTCCATTTCTGTATTATAGCAACTCGCTCAGTCGATAGGTAGACAGGGCCGTGTCAGTCTCTGGTGCATTGTGGGTATGGTGGTCTGCAAACGCGAGTACTATCCTGCCGATGATGTTATGGAAATTGAACAAGTCTTTTCAGAACGGTACCTATACAGAGAAAAATGCATCTGTTTTAGTTAAGCAGTTTCATCCAAGTGGGCTCGACTATGACTAGGTTGGATGTTTATCGGTTCCAGTGATTGGATCACACTGATATAAGCTTAGAGGAACATGACTTTGGTGTCGGAGAGGTTAAATACCCATACCGGTGGTCTGTGTATTGAATAATGAGAGCGGCAGTCGACTGGAGTTGTCGTCTGCTTCAGTCGCAGCAGACGATTCAACAATGGCGTCTCCCAGAGCGTTATTAACTGCATCGACATCTGCCACCAAACGATATAATGACATAATGTATTGATGGAACTTATGCATGGGAGTTGATAGTGTTGGACGAGCAGACTCCAGACCTGAGTTGCCTGAACGGGAGAGAACCCCGACACTTAGTCAGACTGTAGTCCCGTACCATGACAACTGCTTCATTGAATTGTAGGGATGTGTGTGGAGGTCTTTAAATCTTTGAGCTGAGTAATTGCTGGATGATACAGGGATCAGGCGACGTCTGTTGGTTATTCTTCCATTGTTTAACCCACTAGCGACAAGTGTGTTGATTTTCTGTTAATGCCATGGATTTCGTCTTTTTCGCTGACTGTTAAAGTGAAAACAATTGAAACATTGATTGTCTGTTTGAAATGTCGTTAAGAGCAGAGTACGCGTATGCTAAATAGCAGACCACGGGAGCCATATTTCACTGTTCACGAGGACTGTGGAGGCATATCTCCAGAGGAAACTCTCTATGCATACATTGCTGGGACCACTGGTTATTTCTCATTCTGATTTCGTTGATGGAGATGCGTTGTGTGTCAGAGACTCATGTTTGAAATCTTGCTTTCGAGCTGAGGTACAAGAGCAAAACCGTTGACTTCCTTAAATGGCAACATACGCTCTCTTGTCTTTTCAGAGACGTCCATCTTTCCCCCAGGGAGGGCTCGACTGGCATTTACGAAGAAAAAGTAGCAGCAACAGATCCTCAAAGGTTACAGCAGCTACTCTCACCTTCGCCGATGATGATGATGACAACAACGACGCCAGTGTTAATGGGTGCACGTGCCCGGATGACAAGAAAACGTCGAGTTTGCTTACAACAGACGACAATGCAAACGACAAGAGTAGCAAGCAGCAGACGTGTACCAACGTCAATTGTAAGAACTATCGACAGCCTAAGCGACGTCAGCTTCGACGACGTTCACGAGCAACCGTCGTCATCAACGTCGGCGGACAACTTTTTGAAACGTACAGATCGACGCTTAGACGTCTTAAGAACTCGGTATTGTCCGACGACAACCAGATGAGGAAGTTTTACCGTGCAGACACGGGAGATTACTTTTTTGACAGAGACCCCATGGCGTTCGGGTCGGTGTTGAATTATCTGAGGACTGGGGAGCTGCATATCCCCTCCAATATGTGCGGCCCCTCCCTTCAGAATGAGCTGACGTTTTGGGGGATAGATGAACTGGACATTGAGCGATGCTGCTGGACACAATACAACACGTGGAAAACACAAAGCAGGTCGCTGGAGAAGCTGGAGTATGACCGGAAGTTGTCCACAACACAGGACTCCGTGGTTGACAAGGACAATGTGGGATGCTGGACCCGATACAGGTCCAGGTTGTGGACCTTCCTGCAGGATCCTACGTCATCAAGAGGAGCCAAGGTAAGCATCATTTATCAGCGCATGTTTTATGTTAACCTGTTTAAATTCTTACAGTTGTTTATTTCACGTTGTTTATCATTCCGCTGAAAGAGTTAAAAACAGAATAACATACCTAATTATTACATCGTTTTGATTGGGCAAAAGGATTGTTGGGGCTTGCGTGTGATTGGTCCGTTTATACGTAGTTGTAATCAGAACAACGTGACGACATTAGGTCTGGATTTAATATCCCACCAAACCAATACACTTGCCTGAAGCTGTTGGAATGTTTCAGAATGCAATGTTACGCAAGCATTATCAAGAAAAATGTTTCAGTGCAGTTCATTTTGCAATACCTTAATGATTCCGTCTAAAACAAATTGTGCTTGAAGATATGTTTACGAGAGCTCTGATTATGCCCATTAGGTTGCCCAATTAAACCTAAGTAAACTGTTTAACAATGTTGCGATGGCAATGTTAAGAGACATATAAAATGACCTCTGACAAAAATACTGGAAAGTATTATATCACAGTCTGGCTAAAACATAAGACAAACATTTTCTTCATAAATCTTATTTATGGACAAACCCGTGACGATGGAAAGAATATTCACCTAATAGCATGTTTATCCTCATATGCATATCCCAACATGAATAAAATATTTGGTCACGTTAAGTCAAAAATAAGCAACGTCTCATGAAATCGGAGGTTTTAACAACTTAATGTTAATCATACGACCTTCTCCACTCACTTCGAGAAGAAATATGAAATTTTCAGATCAGTTTAGTTTAGCCCTATATATTGCCTTTCAACGTGGGCATGGCTATATAATGTAAACTCTGCCTTGAATTCCAGAAAAGCTTGATCGGTTCCAAATTCTGTTTTACTCAGTAAAATCTACAGGTAACCTAGTTCTTTATTGAAAACCCAGTATCCTTTTCTGAATTACACCGTTATGAAATTAAATACGGAATCTTTGGTGCCAGTGACGACAGTGAGTGAAGTGTTTTCTGTATCAGTCCAAAATAGCTCAGCGGCTTCACGTTTAGTATGTAAAGAATATATACTGTGGTGGTGCGTGGTCCCGTTGGTCAGGAGAGTCCTTGGATGGGTGACCGTGTTTGGCAACTTGAGAGTTTAAGACTTTGGTGCTGCCCCACAACGAAGCACACATGACACATGCGGTCTCACTTTAGGCAAGTGGGTTTACTCATAAATCGCCTCTTTTCACCCAGCAGTGAATGGGTACCCGGTGGGATAACCTTCTAGCTTAAAGGCAGCTTAGGTGATAATGCGTTAGAGCTTTGAGCATGCACAAGTGCGTGGAAACAGGCGCTTTATGAATAGCCATTATTATTATACAGTTTCGTGTGTAATTGAAAGAACTGTCCGTCAAACTGATTATGTCCTTCACTCCCCTCGAGACAGTTTGTAAAAGGTTTTCCCTGGCTGGGTAATTTTGTGTAAAAATGAACTGAGGGCAGAAATGCAGCCCAAGGACATAAATTGTAAATTTGGGACATGAAAGGGCATTTATTGATGTTTGAATGCAATAGGATGTGTAAAATGTCAGGTATTGTGTATTTATGTACATGATTTTAAAATCATAATTAAATAAAACCATTTACAAACATTCTTTCACCTAAACCAAGCTCCAGTAGAGTTTACATTTCTGTTACAAGTTCGCTTTCAATAGAAAAAGAACATTCGACAAAATGATATGAAGGGTGTAGTTTCGTTAGTATATTAAATGCTGACCTTTCGGAACTACACTAATGTGCTGATCAACATACACACCAACACTTCATGAATCATCAGGTCACACGGAATTTATACAACAGTGACTATGTCGAATTGTAATTCAAGCCTCTGTCAGTGAACCATAGCATCACATTTCATCTGATGTTATATGTTAAGTGTTTAATGTGTAGTTTATGGATATTTTATTCACAACACCTTGGGTGGTGTTTAAGCTTCATTGGAGTTGTCCCTATGGTATTTCAAAAACATAATAGAGAACAGATGCTTTTCTATTGCTATGGTAATGAATGACATACACGTTCAGATGAAAGGATAATACAGATGAATGAATGGTATAGCGGTTCATTCCCTAGTAAATGGGGCCTGTTCTCCCTTGCCTCCAAGTGGCGGTGGGGTAGTCTAGTGGTTCAAGCGTTAGCCCATCACGCCCAAGACCCGGGCTCGATTCCCAACATGGGTACAACGTGTATCCCATTTCTGGTGTGCCCACTCGTGATATTGCTCGAATATTGCTAGAGGCGGCGTAAAACCATACTCACTCACTCTTGCCTCGGTGGCCCCTTTGGCACGCCAGAAACCTACATATATGATCGCTTGACTCTAGTATCGACCCGTTTCTGGGTTTGTCCTCATCATACCCGTGCTCGTCATATTGGTCATCGTCTATGATCGGCATCACTCAAACATTCAGCTGACACGCCGTGCTATAACTGGAAGACGGGCAGCGTAAAACCTCTCATTATAACTAACATCTGGTTATGCCGCTCATTGCACACCGTTACATATATCTTTAATGTGACGTTTACACGAGATACGGCTCTTCCATTGGACCAGAGGCCGGTCACATGACCGCGAATCTGACGTTCATAAGTGTATGAACATTACATTTTGACGTTCACACGTTTTGCACGAGACTAGTTAAATGACTACTTCTCCATTCCTGGGGACACCCCTGGGAATTCTCCAGCATAATCAGTACAGAAGGATTGTTTCTGATCGTTTAGACCCTATAATTTTGAATGTAACGTCGCCAGCTCAGACGTCAATACACAGTGTGGCCTTCACTCTATGAATATGCATATTCCAGTGAATGTGCTCAACGTGGAAGTCAGTTCTAAAATGAAGAATCATATCTTGTCGTTCATAATAATTGGACCAAAATCTTTATCACACACTATAGGTATTTCCACTAACGTTTTAAATATTTCCGAAATACTCTGATATCTTTAGAAACCTGTAGAGGGCGAGTGGGGCCATTTTGACCTACTAAGACTGAAACGATGGACATAAACTGAACTCTAAATCAATAGCATCACATTTGATCAACAACCTCCTAACCGCGACCATAAAATAGAGCGTGCTTTTGTTTCCTTGGACATGCTTCATTCTCAAGCAAATTCCAAGTGCCAATTATGGTCATCTTGAAGCACCGCTCCGTCAGGGGCATATCATAACGCTGACTACTGCTGAAAGCTATCATCTTACACACCAACTATTGCACACTAACCCGTTGAACAGTTTCAGTCAAATTCAAACGTTATGCGCTTGCCAGGTTCAACTTAACTGCCTACTATGTACGTCATGTCTTGTTTCAAGAGGGCGCTGGCACAGCCTAAGGGTGTGTATGTTTAGAAGATAACCGACTGCTTATGTGATATTTAGGAGATAACCCTGTTGTGTGCGTGTGCGTGTGTACGTGCTGACTGATCTAGCACCTATAAAAAGGCAAATGCGAAAACACCCATGTAATATCATAATGGTATTAAATATGTTACTAATACAAGCCTACATAACCAACTAGTATACCGCAGTTCAATGACCTACCGTATGTGCAATGACTTTGTTTAGTCATTTCTGATGTCAATTTCAGAACCAATCATTTGAGACAGCTATTAAGGTACGTCCTTACCACCCACTGCCACATAGTTTGTACGTGCCGTACTAACGAATTTGACTTTGGCTTGTTGAATGATAATTGCCTGTTCCATGTGTGAACTCGGTATTCATACTAAACCTGTGTGGTTTAATGTTACGACTGTACATTCCTCTCCTCATTAAGCGACTGCAAGTCTACAGCTCACACCCCACACCATGCACCTGCTGTCGTCATATCACACGTTTCTGTGCTGCTGACGTCGTCGTTCCTCCATCACCAGTCAATGTATGCGGCCGGTTGTGGTGTAGTCGCCATTTCAAACCCCGAGTCATGCCAGCCTGGTTCTTGGGCAAACAGTGGTGGTTGAGCAGCCTTGTCGTTGACCGCGTTCGATTTCCAACATGGGTACAGTGTGTGAAGCCCATTTCTGGTGTCCTCCGCCGTGATATTGCTGGAATATTGCTAAAAGCGACGTAAATCCCAACTCACTCACTCACTCTTGTGCAAACAGGGGCGGTAGGGTAGACTCGTGGTTAAAGCGTTCGCTCCTCAAGCCAAAGACCCGGGTTCGATTCCCAGCATGTGTGGAGCTCATTTCGGGTGTCCCCCGAAGTGATATTGCTGGAATTTTGATAAGCAGAGTAAAATCCTACTGACCATACAGACCCGAGGCGACTGTCGGTTACGTTGTCCGTCATTTGGGGCAGACTCGCCAATGGTAACTTCTGGACATGGTCTGAAGCATCTTCAAGAACGAACAGCTGAACACTGGGGACCTGACTTGACTCCAGTCTAGATAAACGAGTAAGCGTTCAGCTTGCTATGGGGACCATCAGTGGAACCCGTTTAACTGGGAACCAACCATGTCAGTCTCATTGACATCTCCATTGACTACTGATCGCTATTGCATTCGTGGGCTCGGGGCCAATCAAATAACTGTTTTCATTTCGTCTTCATTTTCTATGCACCCCAGCTCGTAGATTTAGAGAAGGAAAACCCATGTACCAGTTCAGACTAATACCGGTTTTATAGTGTTGGCTCAGTGAGTTACCATACTGCAGCCTGAGCATGGGGATTTGGTTGGTTGGTTTGTTGTTTAACGCCGCACTCAGCAATATTCCAGCTATATGGCGGCGGTCTGTAAATAATCGAGTCTGGACCAGACAATCCAGTGACCAACAGCATGAGAATCAATCTACCCAACTGGGATACGATGACATGTGTCAACCAAGTCAGCAAGCCTGACCATCCGATCCCGTTAGTCGCCTTTTACACGCATGAGTTACTGAAGACCAATTTTAACCCGGATCTTCACGGGTTTCAGCGTGGTGAACCCACTTTACACTTCCTGATGCCGATAGTGATGAATCCTTGGCAGAGGATT